CTTTCATTAACCGGAAATAAGGATTTCAGTAGAGAGAGAAGACCATAATAGAGTTGACACCAGGTGGTGATCATTATCAATAATCAAAAGAAACATAAAAAGGCAGCCACAATTCCAGCACTAGATGCTGGTGTACAAAAGCTTAAGTTGTCTAAAAGGGACCTTATCATATTTGACCTTTTGTTTTTTCTTATTTGTTTCTTTATTTTTTAGAGACATGCTCTTACTCTGTCACCCATGCTGGAGTGCAGTGTTGCAATCATAGCTCACTGCAGCCTCAAACTCCTGGGCTCAAGCAACCCTCTTGCCTCAGCTTCCTGGGTAGCTGGGACTATAGGTGTGTGCCACCACACTGGGCTAATTTTTCATATTTTGTAGAGATGGGATTTTGCTATGTTGCTCAAGCTTGTCTCAAACTTCTGGCCTTAAGTGATTTTCCCACCTTGGCCTCCCAAAGTGCTGAGATTACAGGTGTGAGCCACTGCACCTGGTCCATTTTGTTTTTATATGACAGATTTTTCTCAAACCAAGGTGAGGGGAATAATAAGCTCTTCTGATTCAGAGAACATCTTGCTGCTTTGAATCAATATGATATTCTCCCTAGGTAATCACTCAACATTAATGAGTGAAAGTCTCCTTACTTAGCTAATTATTTTATAGTTGTGATTATGGGAATGCTACTAATGCATTTTTGAGAATTGCCCTTCAAAATAATAAAAGACTAAAATAAGTAAATACTTCCAAAAATGCCACAGAAGTAAAAAAAAAAGCTTCAAAGTTATAATTGTGAAAAAGAGAGATAAAAGAAAAAGGTATCTGGAACTTAGTAGGTTTTCAAAAAATATCTGTTTAACAAATAAGGAAATGAAAAAAACTAAAGCCTTAGACACTAGAAATAATCATGTGATTAGAGCCCCCAAACACATATAAGTAGTAAGGGAGGCATAGTTTAATATGATATTACATTAGCAAATAGTGGGTAGAAATGAGTTAGAAAGTGAGGTCAGTAAGCCACTATCAATTCAGGGAAACTGCTGATTGTTTAATTATTGACAAAATGGGGATTAAAATATTTGTCCCTGATTTAGAGTTGTTAAAACTATTATGCAAGTAAGGTTTGAAAGTATTTTTAAAAATTAAAGTTCTATTCAAATATATTAGCACATGTTCATGCCACCATTCTTTTTTTTTTTTTTTTTTTATTTAATTTTTTTTTGAGATAGAGTCTTGCTTTGTTGCCCAGCCTAGCTCACAGCAACCTCAAACTCCTGGGCTCAAGTAATCCTGCTGCCTCAGCCTCCTGAGTAGCTGGGACTACAGGCATGCGCCACCATGCCTGGCTAATTTTTTCTATATGTATTAGTTGGCCAATTAATTTCTTTCTATTTATAGTAGAGACGGGGTCTCGCTCATGCTCAGGCTGGTTTCGAACTCCAGACCTAGAGCAATACGCCCACCTCGGCCTCCCAGAGTGCTAGGAATACAGGTGTGAGCCACCGCGCCCGGCCTATTCTTTCCTAATATATCTTATTTTGAAATTGAAGAGAGCTCCTGGTTCATCTACATTCATTTTTATATTTCTAACCTTCTTAGGTGAAAGATAAATACTACACAATGCCCTCCTGCATCCATTATTGCCTAATTGAGATTCTTACTTCTTTCAAGAGGCTAAGCTTGAGGTTTACTATATTGGAGTATTGAGGAAGGCCTCACTACTAAGATGACAGACATATAAGCAGAGATATGAAAGAAGTGAAGATGTAAGCTTTATGGATATCAAGGGAAGAATGCTTTAGGCAGAATAACAAGTATGGAGGCCTGAGGTAGGAGAGTTCCTGGTATATTTGAGAAACAGCAGAAACTACTATGGGTATAATATACTGAGCAAGAGGAGAGGTGTAAGAGCTGAAGTTAGAGAGGGGGGCTTTTGCTCTGAGAGGGGTGGGGAGTCACTGCAGGGTTTGAGTTGGAGGGACATAATCTGGTTTGTGACTTAAAAGGATCTTTCTGGCTGTTGTGTTTAGAAAAGACTCTAGGAAGGCAAAAGTTATAGCATGTAAACTAGTAGGAGGTTATTACAATAATGCAGGAGATAGATGATGGTGACCTGGACCAGGATGGTAGCACTGGAAGTGTGAGAAGTGTTAAGAGTCTGTATATAATTTGATGTTGGAGCACACAGGATTTACTGATGGATGAGATTTGGAGAATTAGAGGAGAAGAATGAATGATGACTCCAGGAACTTGGGCATGAATAATTGGAACATTGCAGGAGAAGCAGATTGAGGGTGGGTGGATAAGATCTAGAGTTCAGTTTTGACAAGTTAAGTTTGAGGTGCTTATTAGACATCATGTTGAGTACTTATTTGGATATGTGTATGGGATTTGAGGGAAAGTTCTGAGCTATAGATACAAATTTGAAAGTCTTGAGGTACTGATAATATTTAAAGTCAGGAGGTTGGATAAGATTATCTAGGAGATTGAATAATGTTACCTAGGGAGTAAAAATAAAGAGAAGTCTTAGGATATGAGAAATGAGGGGGAACTAGTAAAAGTGATTGAGAAAGGGCATCTGTGATATAGGAGGAGAACTTAGAAGAGAGTGCTGCCCTGGAAACAATGGTGTGCTGCAGCTGGCTCATAGTAGCTTGCAAGGTCCTATTACATTTTCAGCAAATTTGCAAGCTGGTTGTTAAATACAGCCACTGAAGAATTGTATATAAATGTAAATAAATTATATTAAAAATAAAAGTAATAAATACTCAACACTTATCAATTCCTAATTGTGTTTCATCTTGATACCATCTCTGCTCTTGAGGTTATTTAAATCTTTTATATTTGTGTGGTAGAAAAGCTACATAATGTGCTGCTGTGCATCTCTTTCCATATCTGTGTTCAGGGATGTCACATTGGTAGCTTGAGATTGGCCATGGTGGGAATATTTACACCTCAGAAATTGCAAATGCTACAAATTGGGGCTTGATTAATTGTTTTGCTGATAAGAAAGTAATAAAGAAAATGTTAATGACGCAAGTGCAAGTTAAAAGTAAATTGTGTCTGTAGCTGTTATATTGTGATTGGTATGGAAATTGAAGACATATTTGTCCACTATTAAAAAGTTATTATCTGGTTCAGCAAAGAAATCACATAATTGATGAAAGAGAGGTTTTCACATAAACCATCTTTGTGGTTTTATTTTCATCTTATTCATTAATGTAACAAAATATAATGATCAACCAACATTCATGTTGGAACTACTCATTCATCAATTATAACACTGAGTTGGCTGTGATTACAAAAATTTGGCAAAACCCAACAAAAATATTTTAAAAATACTTTATTTTAAAATACTTTAAAAATCAACTGACTAATGGAATTTACAACAAAACATTGCATATCTTATTATTTGTAGACTGGATGCTACACATCCTTGTATCAGTAAAATTTACAATAAACTCCTGTACACATATAGGCGCACACATTTTCTTTTTTATTGGAACCAGCTGTTAAACATTTACCAGCCCACCTCTTCTTGGAAGCCTAGTGAAGAAAGTGTTTTCAAGAGTGCAACAGATTCAAATGCTGCTGATAGATCAAGTGAGATGACTGAGAATTGGATTTAGTAACATGGTACTAATTGTGATAGATGTGGTAGATGGTACTAACTGGGATAGATTAACTAGAGTTGCCTAGTGAAATTACAGAAAAGTCTGATTAGAGTAATATCAAGAGAGAATGAAAGGAAAGTAACAGAAGGGAAGGCAGAATGTATGGGTACAGTTATAAGTAAGTCAGTGAATGTTATATCAGAAGCTTGTGAAAGTCTTCTGATTTTTCCATGAAATGGGAAATAATGTCATTAGCTGAGAATGGCCGTGGGAAAGAAGAGTTGGAAAGTTTAGGAGAAAGGAGGAGATATGAAATAAAGTACTCAGTAATATAAACTATTGTTATTATAACTGGTATTTAGGCTATTTTTGAAAGAGGTAGATAGGACAGGGAAGAGGGCTCTTAAAATTCAAAGACAATTATCACCACCTACATACAATGGGAGTGTCACTCTGGTGACTTTTTAAAGGATATTTTGTCATGTGAAGGATGAAGACATTATTCAAGAAGTCATAATATAACACAATATGTGTTAAGAATGCCTACAGTATTTGTGTAGGCAAAATGGTTTAGAAGAATGGGAGATTAATTTTAACTATTAGAGATGGCTTTATGGAAGAGAGAGCATTAGAGTTAGGTTAAACTAAGGGAAGGTAGATTTTCAGTTAATTTATTCATTGCTTTCTATGTGCTAGACAGTGCTAAGCATTGTGCATACATTGTCTTATTTAATCCTAATGCCTGTGAGGAAACTAAAGCTCAGAGGGATGAAGTAACTTGTTAAAGGTCATACACAGATAGTAGGTAAGATCTGGGTAGACCTAGATCTAGTTGACAACAAACCATTTTCAATATAGCACACTGATTCTAGGGGGAGACAGTGGTAAGGGGGAGGATATTCCAGTACAGCGAGGAGGAGCAAAGAAAAGAACAGAGGTGAGAAAAAGTAGAGAAAGAGGGTGTGTGTGTGTGTGTGTGTGTGTGTGTGTGTGTGTGTGTTTAGAGGGAAGTGGAATGAAAAGTGAGTAATCCAGTAAGACTTGGGCACTGTGTGTGTCCTTGCAGGCGGTAGAGTATATAGTGGGAAGTAAGGCCAAAAATACAGGTTGTAAATCACATCTAATCTGAACATCTGGCTGCATTACATTCTTTGTTTTGATTTGTTTTGCAATTGCGTATTCTTTTGGAAGACAAAACTGTAGAAATAAAAGTGGGATATTGCAATTAGGTGTTGAGTATAATTATCAATTTCATATGGTAGTTTATAGAATTTATGATTATTTTACTAAATTATTTTGTGTCATAAAATTAGGAACACAACTAAAGAATAGTTAATTAGCTTACTATTTTACTGAGACCATGAGATAGAATGTTAATTTCATGTTTTTCAGATACTGATCGAGCTTTACTATTACTGGAAGAATACTGCAAAAAATTGAGGAAACCAGAGGAGCAGCTGTTGAAAACTGCTGTTAAAAAGGTGATGGGTATCTTTAAGAGCAGCTTATTTCAAGCTTTGCTAGGTATGTATTACATTATTTATCATCTTAATGGTCAGAATTGGGCTTAATAGTTTGAATAATATGGTCAAAAAACCCAAAAAACCTGATGTTAACCAAGTTTCAAACTGGGATAATTTTCTTTAATAAGACGAAGAGATTTATTTTATGTTTCGTTTTTTTTTTCTTTTTCAAGGTTAACCTAAAAAAGAATTGCTATAAAATAGAAATAAAGTATAGGTTATTGAAAATTGTAAATATTGAAAGATGTTTTATATAGGAAGAGAAGTTTATACAGAAAAAACCTGAGTAATTTTTTACCAAAAATTGATGACAAATATGCTAAAGAAGGAAGTTGCATTACTCTAGAGAAGGAATTGTCTAACACAGAAATGATGGGTCACATTCACATTCTATTCAGAATCAAAGTTCTACTTTTATTCTCTTCTTAAAACAAAAATAAAACAAACTCTCTTTTCATCTTTCTTATTTCTCTTAGGAAAGTTTATAATTCATAATTAAAAAGTTTATTGATGAAAATCTCAATGCTTTGACATTCTTATCAATTTGTCATGAATCTAACCATATAATCGTCAACGTATGTTCTGTTTATTGTGAAGAAAGTCAAGGATATGGTTTATTTATATATATCTTTATACACCTATCTTTTGCATTTATGTAAATAGAAAGCTTTTCATTCTTTTTCATTGTATTTCAAGAGATAAAATAAACTAGCAAAAGCTATAAATAGATAAATACTTTCCCTAACAAAAACAACCAACTAACTAAACAATTAAAAACTCAATCAATTACACTACATATTTTACTGGGCATAAGTAGTACATTTTAAAGAAATAACTTAGTCTACTAAGTATTTCCATTGCTTTTTCAGGTCTGGTGATTATTTATATAAAATCTAAAAATAGGAATTTATAAAGCTTAATCATGAAAATATGTTTTCATTATAAATATCTACACTTTTTGATAAAACCCAACTTTATAATTTGAATATAATTTTAAAAGCCATTAAATTTTGAAAATTTGAAAATCAGTCTATTGAATAAAAATAGAAGTAAAAACCTTTATAGGATTATTTTGCCTGTGGATTAATTTTTAAAAAACTATTCTACTGTGGCTGGCAAACATTAATGACACAAATAACTATAATCATCTTAGCTAGTATTAAATAAAAACAACTCTAAATGGAGTCTTAGTGAATTTAAATAAACCCTGTCATTAGAGAATAGTATTTTAGAGAACATTTTTCAACTACAAATTCTCAACTAAAAATCAATAGTGTCATCTAGTTGATAATTAGTAAAAGACCATTAACTAAATGGCAATGTATCTAAATGGATTTGTATAATATGTTTAGTTAAGAGTGGCTAAGTCTTTTGAGAACTTGAGCTTTTTAGAACTTGACTTAGGAAGGGTATCGTTGGATGATTCAGATCTACTACATTTTGGTAATGTAATAATTTCATAACGTAACACCATAACTACCTAAAATAAAAAAACAAATGAGTGACAAAGAATTGCATTTTGCCATTATTTTAAGTGAATGATAGGTATCTTGGCTTAAAGCCTTTAGTGTAGTTTGAATTTTTCTAATAAAATGAGAGGCAACAATAATCTGTAAAAAGCTGTTATGTAAGTAATCCCAATGCCAAGCTTTGAATAGATAGATTTGCTTTGGCTGGCCTTTAAATGGAGCAACATTATACAATGAAGCATAACTTTCTACTGAATTCGATGTGGGTAGCTAAATACTGACTGCTGATTTATTATCATTCAATGTTTGAGTGGTTTCAGTGTGTATTTCCTTTAGGGACACAAAAGAAGAAAAGTCATGTAGATTTGTGCATTCTGAAGGGGATTTATATCTTTATAAAAGAATAGGTAGGGAGGTATTGATAAATAGGGCGTTGTTTATGGTCTCTAATTTGTTTCTGTTTAAACCAACTGCCCTCACTATTTTTTACAATTGATAGATACAGGCGTCCTCAAACTACAGCCCGCCGGCCACATGCGGGTGTTTTTGCCCGTTTTTTTTTTTACTTCAAAATAAGATATGTGCAGTGTGCATAGGAATTTGTTCATAGTTTTTTTAAAACTATAGTCCGGCCCTCCAACGGTCTGAGGGACCGTGAACTGGCCCCCTGTTTAAAAAGTTTGAGGACCCCTGTCAGATAGAAGGTAGTAGCTTCACCTATTGTCAGATAGCCAGTACATTGAAATAATACCTTGAATGAATCTCAACTAGCTGCAGAAATAAAAGAGAATCATAATGAAGAAAAACCAACACAAATGAATAATAAAAAATACTATTATTGCAGAATATGCTGTAATATTTACATGTGACAAGGAAACCAAATCCTGCAGATTGAAAAGCATCACTATAAAATGAATTCGTTTTGTACCACATCAAATGATCAAATGATGTGACTTCATCTTATGCTTAAAAAAAAAAAAGGAGTATTATGGCTATTTCTTGTCTGAAAAAAAAAAAAGAGTATGTTTTGGATGGTATATCTCTAAGGACCATGATTCTGTGTATATAATTTACCACCACGATAGTGCATAAAAGCATTTTATAAATGAGTTATGTGATAATGTGGTAGAAGGTGATAGCAAAGGTATTTATGTTTGTAAAATTTTTAAAATATAACTTTAACTATAAAAGCAACATATATTCATTTTGGAAATTTTTTAAAATGTAGAAAGTAAAACAATATAAAATACAATAGTGAGATACATTGCTTTTATGGTAAATAGCAGGATATCTGATAAGCTTGGAGAATGAACTGTTTGTTTAATTTTCTTCCTTTTTACTTCTAGAGACCTTGTATTATTTGTTTGGATTTTCTGTTTGCCAGTAACTGACAGTGGAAAAAGGCACTTTAGTTTTTTAAAAGTTAGCAGTCAGTGTTCATTAATGTATCAAAACAAAACAAAACAAAACAAAAGCAAAACAAAACCCCCCTAAAACAGCAACATGCTGGAAACTACACATTTAGATGTTAGGCTTATGGTGACATCTTGTGGTAGTACCAAGGAAAAAATTTATCCAATGGATAATGGCAGTTTTATGGTGATTAAAATATCAATACCTTCCTGAATTTGAATATAAGTGAATTGGAATTCCATGATATTTTAAAAATTAATTTAGGTCTCTTATTTAGAATAGCTAACTGAAATAATAATAGTGTTTATTATGTACCCAAACAAAACAAAACAAACCTAAAACAGCAATATGCTAGAAGCTGCACATTTAGATAGAGTTGGAATTCCATAATATTTTACAAATTAATTTAGCTCTCTTTTATTTAGAGAATCGAAAACATTCAGATTTCCAAAGCATTTTGTTGGGTTATTTGTTCTTCATTTAGGCGATGAAGGTGCAAGATGGAACATTTTTAATTTTTTTATACTACTCTTCCATCTCTACTTTGAAAATTTAAATATCTATATTGCCATCATAATTATTTGTGAAAACTATTTTAATAATATTATAGGTCAGTTCATTTTAGGTAATAATATAGATGTTCTTTGTTTTTGTAACTTATTGAAAATTATGTGTTATTCTTTAGTCATTTCTTATATAATTATGGAAAGAACTACATACATATTTCACAGATTTCAACCCCTTCTAAAATCTCATTAGCCTTGCTTATCTAATGTATTCCCTCTTATTTCTCTACAGTGTTTGAAGGGGAATTTTTTGGAAAGATTTAGAAGAGAACAGGCAGTAAAATGATACTTCCTTTAAAACTGCCAGTAGCAAAATTTTAGAAAAACGCTTATCCTGTTTTATAGAGGCTATTAAACCTTACATATCAGACTTTGTGTTAGCATAGAATACATCATTTCATTTTCATAAAGCTTAATAAAGATCCTTGTGTATACTCGAGATTACTAGCAATAGGAGTGATATAGCAGATGTATTACAGATTGGGATTTGTCATCTCTTTGTTGAAGGCTTCTACCACATCCCTACTTGCTAGAAGCTTTAACCAGCCATTGCATTTTGTCTCATAGCATTTTGTTCATATTACTATAAACAACTTACCACATTGCCTTATGATAAATTGAATATATTTCCACCTCTTTAATAGTCAGTGAGCAGCTCGAGGTGAGGGGTTATATCCAATTAACTTTTATACCTCCAGAATGTGGACCTCTAATAGTAATAATAGGCCTTTAATAGTAATAGATTTTTATTGATTTACTCAATTATTTTTAATTATATTAAAAATTAAATATAAAAACCAAAATATAATTAATATCATATTTTAATTATTTTTGATAATTATACCTATTATGTATTAGACACTGTGCTAGGCAATAAGAATACAATAGCGAACTATAGAGGACAATATTTACCCTTATGGTCAAGTGAACAAAATTAAGTGGGGTAAAAGAGGCATGAAACAAGCAATTAATTAATTATTTAGTTAAATGGTGGTAAGGGTTACAAAGGAAATATGTATAAGAGTTTTATCACATTTTAGTTTGAGTTAAAAAAACCCAACTACATATTTTCCCATTACAGTAATTCTAATATATTTTTATTTTAAAGTAACATCTATATGAAAGCATCATGGCTATTTTGGTCTTAATTTTAATCATAATGTATGTTTTTTACTAACTGATCATAAGGAAGTAAAAGATTTTTCATAAATTATAATGAGTGTGAAAGCCCATATAGTTATGTGAATTTGGAGCAGTTTGGGTCTAAATCTTTAAAACAGAGGTTATCAAAATGTGGTTCTTGGACCAGCAGCATCAGTCAACTATAAACTTGGTTAGCATTACATATTTTAGGGTCTCATCTCATACCTACTGAATCAGAAATTCTGGAAGTAGGGCTCAACAAATAGTGTTTTAATAACATTTCCAGGCAATTCTGAGGCATGCTAAAGTTTGAGAACATATGTTCTATATTGTTAGATATTTGGTCATTCAAGGAAATTAATATAATGTATGAATATTATTAATAAACTTGGAAGAATATGACAGTGGCA